GGCTGGGATGAGGGCTGGCCCTGGTGTGAAGGTTGTGGGAGCTCTAGAAGAAAGAGTAGGAGGGGCGTGGCAGTGACTGGGGGTTCTGGAGGGGATTTGAGGGGATGATCGGCAGACTGAGATGTGGCGGAAGAATGCAGGCAAGAGCCAGGCTGAGAGCCCAGAACAGTGGGTCAGGTAGCGGGGAGAAGGGGATCAGAGGTGTCAGAAGGCCGAGAGGGCCCTGAACCTACCGTGCTGGAGGTGTGCCTTTCCAGGGCATGGGTGGGTCCCCAGCAATGGAAATGGCCTTTTCCAGACCAGGGCCATAGTATACCTTCTAGGGAACATCCCCCAGCAGGTGCTGGGAGTGTTTGCAGAGGGCAAGGTGGGGCAGGTCCAGTCCTGTGGAAATGGACGCCCTCCTTGTCCTTCCTCCTGGGATGAGCCCCACCCTCCCTTCTCCACCTGGGCCCGCAAAGGTCTCAGAGGCCACTTCCCTCTGGGCGGCCATCCCTTGCAGGGCCTTGGGCCACAGCAGATGGTGAATGGAGTTATCTAGAAGTGGACTATCTCGTCCCGCAAGAAAAAGGAGGGGATTATCATCATTCTCTCCTGGTGTGACCTTGGGAGTGTTACTTTCCCTCTCTGGACCTCAGTTTCCTCATCATTACAGCAACAGGGGTGAACCCGTGGGCCCCAAATATATATGGGAACTCGGCTGGCTGCTCAGAATCACCCGGGAAGTTTGCTAAAAATACAGATACTTCAGGCTCCACCGCAGGGATTAGGAAACGCTGGACTGGGCAGGGCTCCAGGCGGCTGTAGTCTTAGCAAGAGCCCAGTTTGGGAATCTGTGTTGAGCACCCCCTTCCCCGGTTCCCACAGTCACACTGGCAGCTGGAAGATCCAGTTATCGGCAGGCCCCACCCCAGCCTTCCCGCTTCCCCATCCTGCTCCCCTGACTCAGCTAGATCAATATTGACCATCGGCCCCTCCCCTGGCTCTGACTCCCGTCACCCCAAGCCCCCAAACTCTCTGAGACCCTGAACCCGCTCAGCAGAATCAAGGTCCAAGCAAGGCTTTTGGCCCGGAGGATTTTATTCCTGTCCCACTCCCCGCAGCCCCACACCACATCCTCCACCTCTGACTGGTTTGGCAGGCAGGGCATCCTAGCTCACTGCAGAAACATCAGGGCTCCTACTCACAACTCCATCCTGCAAGAGGGGACAAGCCCTGAATCTGGCTCCAGAGAGGTGGTGCTTCCCCTGTAGCTCTCCACGGCATGGTCACTGGCAAAAGCCTGAATTGGGCAGGCAGGGGCACAGAGCTCCCCTCTGCCCACAGCTCTCCCTCCAGCCACCTCTGTGGGGCACAACACGGTTCCTGTCCAACCCATTCATCTTACTGATGGGGACGCTGGTCTAGCCTCCAAGGCACTTGCCGTGGAGCTGGAAGGTGCAAGCCATGGGCTCCGTCTTGGCCTGTCTCTGGCTCCAAGCACACCACCCCCGCCCTCCTTCCCCCAGGTTTGTTGGTTGAAGGAGCGAGCTGGGCCTGTTTCTTTATTTGTGCAAGAGCGAGCAGGCTCTTGAGAACCATGACACCTGGAGAGAATTTCTACATGCCACGTTTTAGGTTAAGCATTCTGATCTTTTTTTTTTAATAGGCATCAAGCAGCTATATTACCTCATTTAATCCCCTGCCAGGGGAAAGTTATTCTCCCCATTTGACATCTGAGGACACCTGGGTTCAGAGAAGGGCAGTAGATTCAGCTGGTCACACAGCCAGTGAGCAATGGAGTCGAGACTGGGCTCTGACCAGCCGATGTCCGAGTCCTCCTGGGCTGCTACCCACTCCAATACTCGAAGGGATACAGCTCACAGATGCTGTGGGCTTTAGTGGGAAAATTCCCCCAAATGAAAAGTGATCCTGGATGGGGGTGCCGGGAGGAGGCCTCCATGTGGCCAGAGGGGGCGGGCTGCTGCTCAGTCCTGGGGGAGAAGGTCAGGCAGCAGGAAGTCAGGCAGACGTGCTGTAGGGGTGCTGACCAAGACTCCGCGGGTGGGAGGCGGCTCTGGATGCCCTTCCAGGGCAAGACCAGCGTCAGCGAGGCCTCAGGCCCCAGAGGGAGTGGTCTGGAGCTCAAGGAGCCAAACTTTCCATGAGCCATTAGCAAAAAATGAGTCTGGAGAACGGTGTCCACCGCAGACCCGGAGGCTCTGCAACCCGGGTCACGTGGAATTCGGAGGGGCTGGGACTGTCTTAACTCTTCGCTCGCTGTCCCCAGAGCCACCAAGAAACTGCTTTTAGATTGATGCTGCATCCATCGTGCAAAGCTGTGAACTGGCACTGTGGGTCCCCAAGGCCACACAGCCAGGAGGGGCAGAGCAGGGACGACCCCAGGTCTGTGTGGCTGAGAAGCACACCCGCCCCCCCCCCCATGGTGCCCTACTGCTGCCCCAGGTACTCTGGGGTCCAAAGAGCGTGATGTAAGGGTCTTACTGCACGGAAATTAAGTGGGTTGTCTCAGAACACCGTGAGTGCTCTGTGCAGGCTGGGCTGGGCAGGGCTCACCAGATGTAGGGCTGAGCCAGCCCCCCTGAAGACCCCAGGAGTCCATACCTGGGGGTGATAAAGACTGTATGGAGGTGGGACCTGAGAGGATGGACAGGATTCCAATGGGTAGATGGAGAAGGCACTGGGTCAGGGAACCTGGGCCTATTCAGGGAACCATGCAGAGATGAACTTGGCGGGGGTGGTGGAGGGGGCAGGGCCTACTGAGGACCAAACAGCAAGATAACCAGCGGACCCCCGGTGTTATCTGTTGACCCTAACTTGACCTTGGGAATATGGCTGCCCTAATGGTGTGGCCTCTCTCTCCTCTGCCCCACCCCCACCCCCATTTACTCTCACAGATCATAGGCTGGAAGTCACGGCAGATGGTCCACGGCCCCATCTCAGTGCCTCTCGGTCTCTGATGACTCCCAGAACAGGAATGGAGGGCCCCAGGTCACCCCTCCGCCACACCCCAGCCAGGCACATCCACTGCCTCCCAGGGCCCCCCATCAGCCTCCCAGGGTCAGGGGTCCATGGACACAGAGATTAGCGAAGACAGGAAGCAGAGCACTGAGCAGGGGTGGGGAACCCTGGGCCTGGCTTCAGCTCTAGGCCACTCTCACCGTGGATCCCCAGGCAAGCCCTGCCTCTCCGACTGCTAAGGCCCTAATTCTGCTGCGCTGTCGGCGTGCACTGAGAGGCTGACAGGAGGCCCTAACTGAGCTGTGCTCTTTTACACGTTCTGAATCAGTTTCCCACATTTAAAAATGGGAAATGTCTCGTGAAAATCCAGATTTCCCTCTTCTCTTAAAAAGCCAGGCTATCTGGAGACCTGGGCCCACACTTCTGAGGTAGCTCCCCCTTAAGAGAGGCATCATACCTTCTTCTCCAGTTCATCACAGTCCCCACCAGGCCCTCTTGTCTCTCCAATAGTCACTAAGGGTCAGATGCCACTTACTCTCCCACTTACACCCACAGCTTTGCTCGCCGGGGTTCCCTGCCTGGCCCTGTAGGCACTTGGGTTTGGCACCTGCTGGGACATTCTAGGATTCCAGGCTGGGCTTCTACTCCAGACAGGGCTGATGTCTCCTGTCCGATGCGTACTGTGCTGTCAGGGATGCCTCCAGCTGTGGGTCCCTGGTCCTTAATCAGCTCCCACTGCGATCGGGGCCTGGCTGGCATCTGGTATGAGGCAGGGAGACCTGAAGTCAATATGGAGATCAGGACGGGAGCAGTAGGGAGATGGCATGGGCAGCAGAAGAAGCAGAAGCCTAGGGCAGCTGGAAAGGCTGTCGGAGCAGCGGAAATGGGAAAAGCAGGACAGACTGGAAGACTGGGCCAGGGAGGACAGTCCAGGAACCGCAGCGGCAGGGCGGTGGCCAGGAAGAGTGGAGGCAGGAGGAAAGCAGGGCAAGGGAGGTGAGGCTGGAGGAGCTGAGGTTGGTGGAGTCCGTAGATGCCTAGAATCCTCCAACTGCAGACTCGGGAATCTGGGAAAAGAGAAGCCTGGACTCCTAGGATCCTCCACTCCTGACTTCCAAGACGCAGGGCTACAGCCAAGGGGCTGGGTGAGGAGTACTCACGAGCCACGCTCAGTCCTAGGGCTCAGGCTCCGTCCTGGAGCAAGCCCGGAGAGCGCCTCCTTCCGGGCCAGAGGTGGCTGTGGGGGTGCTGAGAGGGCCGGGCGCCAGGGGCTTTGTGAGCAAGGCTGGAGCCCGCCCCCAGGGTGTGGGAAGAAGCATTGTGAACTGTGAAGGCCATTCCTGCATCCTCTGCAAATTAGCAAACCCATCTCTCTTCCCCCACCCAGAGCCCCAAACAAAGAGGGGGCAGGAGGGGGCCTTGGCCCTTTGTTAGGGGAAATTTATTAATATCCGAAGTATGCAGCAGCCCTTCCTCTCCAACCGCATTCAAAGCCTTTGCAAACACCTGGGCCTCGCATTTGAAAGGCACTGGGGCCCTTTTATATTGGCAAGGTCCTGCCAGGTGGGGGTGGGTAGAACCAGGAAATTCTTCCGGCCTGGGAAAGTCGTGGCTCCTCCCAATTCTACTCTTGGAGCTCCAGCTGCAACTGCAGGTAAGGCTGGGAAAGAGCTGGGGAGGGAAGGAGGGCAGCTGGCCAGGGAAAGGAGATGGCTGACAGGCCCTGGTTTGTCCCCAGCTCTGCCTGTCTCTGCTGGGTAACCTTGAGCAGGTCTCTTCCCCTCGGTGGGCCTCGGTTTGTCCGTATGTATAATGGGAGACTAGGTGGTCTTTAAGGACCTTCCTCATCTTCGTCATCCTTCCTAAGCCCCACCCACCGACCACTGCCACGGAGAAATGGCAAAGCTAGGGTCAGAAGCCAGGTGGGCCAGGAAAGGAGGCAGCTGAGCCTCAGTTCCCGTATCTGTCTGATGGGAACCAGAAAGTTCTGTGCTGTCCACCTCGTGGCTCTCAGCAGTAAGGAGACAGGGTAAGGAAGATGACTTCATTGGTGTTTATTAACAGAACACAGATGGGTTGGGGAAACACCAGCAGAGAGGGCACAGGGGTTGGCACAGATGCACCAGGCCACCCTGCCCCACTGGAGGATGCCATGTGCAAGGGACCTGATCAGGCGTTTTCTCACCCCACCCTCATCTCTCAGGGAAGGAGGGACCCCAGGGCAGCCCCTCCCAAGCCTGGGGATTGAAGATGCCAAGGTCTCTGGCTACAGGCCTGGGGTGCCGCCCGCTCTCTGCCTCCACTCGGGTGTCCGTGCCCAGGGACCCGTGTGCTGAGGCAGAGTTGGCAGCACTGGGACCAGACAGCCATATGTGTGGACCACCTCCCAAGGCTCTTAGTGGCCTGGTCGTCCACAGCCAAGGCCCATTCCCCAGCAGTGCCTGGAGCTAGAGGAAACAGTGAGGGCCGCCAGGACAAGGGAGAAGGGAAGAGAGGGGCCCTGGGTCCTGACTATGACCCCTCGTTCCCACCTCCACAGTGCAGGTCAGGCACCTCCCTCCTTTCACTGGTTCTAATCATGCCCAGGGCTCCCCACACTAGAGGGCATGGGGTCCAGAGAGGGAAGCTCTGGGGTCCTCCTTCTTTCCCTCCCTCCACCCTCCTAATACCCAAGCTCAGGCACTAGCCCCTCTGGTCTCTCCTCTGCAGGCTTCCCGCCTCTACCCCATCCCCTCTATTCCACCTTGCACACTGAGCCAGAAGGATATTCTATCGAAAGCACATGATCCTGCAAAGCCCCTGCCCGCCTGCGTCCCTGGCTCACCCTCTCCAACAATCTGCATTCCCACTTGAATCCTGTTGTAAGCTGGTAACCCCTGCTTCTCCCACCACTCTCCCGCTCTCCTCGCTCCCTCACCCTTGGCCTTGGTCTCTCCCTAGGCCACCTCCTGGCCCCAGGGGAGGAGAAGGGGGCTATATTCTGACCCCCACACCTTGGCTGGATCAACGCCTTGGCCAGAGGCCCTCCCCACCCCGCCGTCCTCTTCTCTCTCTCTCCAAACTTGCCCATCCTCCAGGGCCCTCAGGTCCCACCTCCTTCAGGAAACCTGGCCTGCACACGTGAACCCACAGGGATCTTTCTCCCACTTGACTTGATAACCCTTGATGCCCGGGGCCTCGTGGGCCTCGAGACAACCTGAGTGTCCTTGCCCAGCTCAAGATTCTGATTCGGTGAAGTGTATGGGGCAGGCTTCTCAAGAGAAGAGAAGGGACTGGGCCCTGAACAGAGATGAGAGGGTGGTCCCAGCTGCCACATGAGAAAGGGAGCTGGCCGGTCAGGAGGCCTGGGGGTCCAGTCCCTTCTGTCATGTGACCTTGGGCCTCAGTCTGTCCATCTGTGAAGTAAGAGCTGAGCTGGCTCATTTTCAGCTTTGAGTGTGTGCATGTGCGTTTGTGTGTGCGTGTGCGTGTGTGTTGGGAGTAGACAGAGGTTTTAGGAGAGGCAGAGGCCACAAAAAGGGACTTGCTCTGGGGACCGGCATCACCATGGCAACCTCCCGCAGCCTCAGGCCTCTCAGAACCCCAGAGGGGGTGTGGCAACCCTTGGGAGCCGGCAGGGCCTCCTGTCTGCCTGCTTCCCATCTCACATCATGGATTCCTCCTCCTCTGCAATCTCTCGGTCCACCTCGATGGCTGTGTTCTCGAAGCTGGTGATGCCCCCGTACTTGCGCATGTGCACCATCAGTGGCTTGGGGGACTGGCTCCCGGCCAGCGTGGCCACGTACATGCCTGTCCGGTTCTCCTCCAGTGACGGGCCCCAATCTAGGGCTGGCCGGCTGGCCTGCTGGAGCCGCTGCAGCAGAGCAACCACAGGGCTGAGAACCAGGGCTCAGGGACTGCTTCCAGGGTCGCCGGCAAAACACTTACCGCGTCACCTGGATTAGTCTGTGCAACAACCCGGGGAAAGGGCGGGGGCTCTGTCACTTCCCCAAGGGAGTGAGTCACATGCCTGGGGAGAATTCTGCCCTGCCACTCACAAGTTGGGTGGCCTTTGGGCATGGAATTTAAGCTCTGCTTCCAGCATCTGTAACTTGGGAATCATGATGCCTTCAAAGGGTGGTTAGGAAGGCACTGCTGAGCAGGGTGCTGGGAACAGAGTAAGGCCCAGTAAATGGTGGCTGTTGTTATGGTTACATGGCAGGCAGTCCAGGAGTCCACTCTGGGTCCCTCCCCTAAATGCTGAGTCCTGAAGAGCTGGGAGCTTTGGGGAGAGAGCCATGCACTGGGAAGATGGAGACAGAGTGGCCATGGTCAGTCTGACTCAGATGTCTGACCTTTCCCTCTCCAAGCTCCAGTTTCCATGGAAGGAGGGAGCTAAGGTGATGACTAAGCCTGGACATTCTAGGGTTCTGTCTTCCTCAGACCAGATTCCCAAAGCCCTCTGCCTGCCCTGCCGGGGAGAAGAGCCCCAGACCCTTCAATGAAGGGAGACAACCAACATTAAGTGGAGCCTACTGGGTGTAGATTCCAAGGGAGATAATGTGTGCCATGCCCTTAGCGTGGGGCCTAGCACAGCTCTATACGCAAAACACAGTGATGCCCATTAAAATGCATTGACAGTAACGTTACCCCACCACTCAGGAACCTGCCAAAGGCTCGTCATCTCACTTGGAATGAAATCCAAAGTGCTCTCATGGCCGCCACGTCCTGACCCGTCTACCTTCGTGATCTTGGTTCCCGCCACTCTCTCTCCACCTCCTCTGATCCAGTCTCGCTGACCTCAAACGTGCCGGCCCCTCCTGCCTCAGGGCCTTTGCACTGACTGTCCTTCTGCCTGGAATGCTCTCCCCTTAGACATCTAAACCAATCACCTTGGCGATTTCGTCAGGTCTCTGTCACCTCCTCAGAGAGGTCTCCCCTGGTCACCCTGGCCAGAACACCGTCCTCCCTCACTCTCTATTCCTGTGCTCTGGCTTTGTTAGGTTTGGTTTTGTTTTTAAGTATTGCACTTACCACTGCCTTCATGTGTTTGTTTATTGTCCGTCTCCCGCAATAAAATACAAGCTCCCTGAGTCTGAGGACTTAGATTTGTTTCCAGCTGCACACTAGTGCCTACACCAAGGTTTCTCCACCTGACAAACCACTGACATTGTGGCCTAGGAGGTGTTCTGCACATTGAACCCTGTGTAGCAGGATCCCTGACCTCTAGATGCCAGTAGCATTCCCCCTCCAGTCCCACCCTCTCAGGACAATCAAAAATGTTTCCAGACATTGCCAAGGGTCCCCTGAGGGCAAAATCACCCCCTGATTTTGAGGTGAGAACCCCCCAGCTTAGAACTGAACACTCAGCGGGTCCCAGCTCTGTGCTGAGTATGGGCTTATTTAATCCTTACACTATCCCTATGAGAGGAGTATTATTATTACCTCCACCCCACACACACAGATACTGTCTGAAAGTACGGTTCAGAGACATTAGTTAAGTTGGCCAAGGTCACACCGGTGGGAAGCGGTGGTGTGGCATTTGAACTCAGGCAGCCTTGACCCCATCCTGAACTTTAAAAATACCCTGTTTTTCTGCCTGTCACAGTACTGACTTCATTGATGAGCTTTTTTTCTTCTCACAGCAACCGTATGGGCAGTTATCACTATACTCATTTTTTTTTTTTTTTTTTTTTTAGGGGAAAGCACAAACGCAGTCCCCCACTGCTACAAATTCTGCAGTCGGGTTTCCCACGTTTGGGGAAATCGCAGGGATCAGCACATCCGGAGTGCAATGGATGAGCCGTGCACTGCAGAACCACCTTTGTGATCACGGTATCTCCCCTGACAGGTAAGGATCACTGTCCTAATTTTAAGGACTGAGAAAGCAAGGTTCAGAGAGGTGCGTTCACTTGCTTAGGGTCACAAAGCTGGCAAGTGGCAGACCCAGGATTCCGATCCTAGTGGGTCAGTGCTGGGAAGCTTGGTCTCTGAAGGTGGCACCCCTGAGCGGGGCAATGACTTCTCTGTGGGGCTCTCCGATCCCCCAACAACCTGTCCCCTCCGCCTGGCTGTGGGCAGCGGTGGCAGCAGGACAGGAGGGAGGCAAAGCAAGGCTTGGGAACCATGAGCTTCCTGGGAGCTGGAGCCCTCCTCCTTCCCTTCGCAGACACCCTGGCTCTCAACAAGGAGACAATTTTCCTTTAGCAGCACAGGTGGGGCTTCTGAGGTTCAGAAAAGGAAAGGGGTTTGCCTCAAAGTCATACAGCAGTCGGAGGCAGAGCAGTGGCTGGACTCCTGGACTCCCCTGTGATCTGCGCAGTGTGACCACAGCCCGCTTCTGCCAGGGAAGGGCTCTGAGCCTCCCTCCAGAAGCTGGAAGATGGGGCAAGGGACAGCCAAGGAACAGTGGAGGTATATGAGGTAGGGGGGTGGGCAGTAGTGAGCTGGTTAGCAGGCTGGGGAGGGCTGGAGGGGCACAGGAGCCCTGATTTGTAGCCAATCTCACTGTTGTAATTATCTCCACACTTGTCAATTTCAAGCTCTCAGTGGTTTACGACTGGGTCAGCGTATTCCAACAATTAGCTCTCATGAAGCAGTGCTAGTGGCTCCAGCACACCTCTGATGGTGTGTGTGTGTGTCCCAAGGCTGTCTCTGGGCCCTAGCAGGCTCACTCAGCTCCACTCACTATGACAGCCTCTTGCCACCAGAGGACTCCACACCCACGGCCTCAGAAGCGGAGGGCTCAGACACGGATGTAGAGAACAAATGTATGGACACCAAGGAGGGAAAGTGGGGGGCGGGGGGTGGTGGTAGTGGGATGAATTGGGAGATTGGGATTGACGTATATACGCTAATAGGTATAAAATAGATAACTAATAAGAACCTGCTCTATAAAAAATAAATAAAATTAGATTAAAAAATTTTAAAAAAAGAAGTGGAGGGCTCAGTGTGCAGAGGGCACCTGAGGCTCAGAGAGGGGCGGGATCTCCAGCAGCTGCACAGCAACCCAGCATGTCCACTGGCCCACAAAGGGTCCCTATTCCCCTCTTCCGAGCCTGCAGAATCCCATACCAAACAGCTTGCACTCTGTATGCTTTCTGGGTCTCTCCACAAAGCCCTGGCCATGGGCAGGGCTCCCCGTCACCGGAGGAGGGTGACAGCCCACCCCTGGGGTCCTTCAATGTTGCCTCTGACCCTGAGTTCCACAGGGAAGCTAGCAACCTGAGTTCAAGTCCTGACCCCTGCCCAACTCACCATGGACCTTGGATAAGACCCTTGTCCTTTCAGGTTCCCCCAAGACACGTGGGCAGTGGCCAGTATCCGTGGTCTGTGCCCCTCCCTTGCCAGGGGCCCCAGGTGGTGGGAGGGGCCACAGGATAGGACTCTGGCCCCAGAGCCTGCCACAGACCAAGCGGATCTGAGCTGATTCATAGCCCAGGCTACTGGTTGGAAAAAAATGCTCTTCCCGGTTAAAAGAATCCTGCAGGCTCTGGAAAAGGTGTTGGAGCAGACGTTTTCTCTTCTGGAGGTTGGGCCCAGGGCAGGGCCACAGGTCAGGGGGCTGGGAGCAGGCAGGGGTGGGGCAGACTCACCTCCCAGAGCGAGCCCTCCTCTCGAAGCACAGCCACCAGCATGCCGGCTGGGATCATGAGGCAGGACAGCAGGCCCATCAGGATGCCCAGCAGCTCCGCCCAGGCTGGGAAGCGGTAGCTACCATATTCTGAGGGCTGGTACTTGACGATGCTATACACCAGCAGGGCCTGCAGGTGGGGGGCTCCCAGCATCAACGTGGGCCTCGGGCATGGCCCAGGGCTTGGGATAGCCCAGGTCTGAGCTACCTTAAAGCCTGAGATAGCTCAGCCCAGAACCACCCAGTTTCTGAGACAGCCCAGTCCTAAGCTGTACCAGAACCTAGATGGTCCATCTCTGGAGCCTTTGCAAGTCCTCAGACAGCCCTGCCCCAAGCTGACCCAACGCCAAGACCTGAGACAGCCCAGCTCTGAGGTGCCCTAATTCCTGAGACAGCCTACCCCTGAGCTGCTCTGACCCCAGCCTTAAGGCTCTGAGGCCTGAGAAAGCCCCGCTCATTTTGCCAACCAAACGCAGGACCAGCCTCAGCACAGCTACAAAAGCTGGGGGCATCAAGGGGGAGGGGAGTAGACCAGGATCCCGGTGCCCGCCCCACCTCTCAGCCCTGACAGAGGTCCACTGTGGGTCAGGGCAGTCCTACCAGACTGAACGCCCAGAGGGGCCCTGCTCTCAGCCCTGAGTCCCCAGCCAGCAGCCCTCCCTCCCACCCCCGGTTACCAGGAGTGTGGCCGGGGACAGGAACAGCCAGCAGGCCCTGAAGTAGAGGCCCGGCTTGAAGCCCAGCATCATGTGGATATCCCGGCAGAACCTCTGGATGCCTGCACAGGGGAGGGAGGAGCGTGGTCCCACCCGCAGCCCCACAAGCGCCAGCAGCCCCTCCTCCACTCCAGCTGCCCCCACCGGAAACCCTGGCCCTCAGGACCAGGAACCCAGTGCAGGGGGGCTCCAGGGTAGACTCCCGCTCTCCCACGGTGGGGAGCCTGACTCCACCTCCCATGGCCCCTCTCACCATACACCCGGGTGACAGCGAGGCACGTGGTGATCACCGCCACCATTAGCCCGAAGCTGGCGCTGTAGTCGTCCAGAAGGACCAGCCAGTACATGCCCCCCTGGAACACAAGTCGCAGCTCTGGGGTCCCTTATCCCAGCCTCTCTCCCTGATGCCACCCCTTCCCCAGGCAGGAAGTGAGCAGGAAGCAGCCAGACCGGCGGGGAGGGCAAGACGATGACAGCGTGATTGCTTTCTGCCTTCCGAGCCCTTTATACACATCATCTGATTTGAGTCTCACAGCAAGCCTAGATGTAGACCCCATTTTATCAGTGGGAAAACAGCCTCAGGGGGGTGAAACCACTTGTCCTGAGGTCGCTTAGCAAATGCAGGAGCGAGGCTTGAACCCAGGTCTTTCAGACTCCAAAGTCAGGACTCTGGGTCACAGGCCAAGCTGCCCCTGGGAGAGAGGGCCTGGGGTGGACTAGGTTCCTCCCAAGGAGGAAGAGGCAGGTAGTTCAGGGAATGCTTGGCCTGGCCGCAGACAGTGCCGCAGGTGTCTGCCCCAGCCTTGCCCACCAGCTGCCCGCCCCCCCCGCAGCGCCACTCACATCCGTGGTGAGGACCAGCCCCATCAGGTACATGGCCACACAGATGAGCCCTGAGAACACAGCCTTCTTGGGCCGCAGGTAATACGGGAACTCATCTGTAACAGCTGTCACAATGGTCTCCAGGAAGGCAAACTGGGGGGGGAGAATGGGGGGGGTCAGAGTTCTTTCCCCCCCCACACACATACAAACACACACAGATACACATCTCACAGGCACAGATACACACACGCCACACATACACACACAGGTACACACATAGATATACACAGACACATCACACAGATCCACGTCACACACATGCCATACACACAGACACAATACATGAAGACATACACAATCATGCATCTCACACACGCACAGACACACATATAGATACACACATCACACACACATACACACGCACGGAGACACACACACACACCACAAGGTGCACCCACTGGCGTGGAGCAGCTCACCTGGCTGTCCAAGCCAAGAGTCAGCAGCATGAAGAAGAAGAGGAAGGACCAGAAAGGCGATAGAGGCAGCATGGTCATGGCCTGTGGATAGACGACAAAGGCCAGGCCAGGGCCTGGGCCAAGGGCACACGGCGTCAGCAGTCTGGGGAACGCGGGGGTCCCACATATGTACTCAGACGCACATGGTCGCTCACACCCACTTGGGCACACTCGGTTCAGCCAGACTCAGAGACGTACACTCACTGCACACTTCCAATGCTTTCTTAATTTTTAGGATACAGGCCAGCACACTGTCGGTGCTCCATAAACACAGGTTGATAAAATAAATGGATTAATAATGAGTACACGAGAAAACACAGACCAAATAGAAAACCTCATTTGAATACACTTGTGTACACAATCATTTGCACAGACAGTTCCATGAACACACATATTCAGACACTCCCATTGGCACAAGACACTGATTCACATCATTCAAAGCCTCAGTTCACTTGCACAGCCATCTGCACACAGGTTGTGACTCATCTGGACAAGCAAGGCAAGTTCCTAAGATGCGGCAAAACAAGACAGTCTCCTACAGAAAGTCACTTATCTCCAGACACAGGTTGACACATACTCATTTGTACATTCATCCCTTTGCTCTAGGACACCCAGAGAGCAGCTAAGACACATTCATTCGTGTGCACGCACACGCACACAACATACCCATCCACAACCTTGCTGGGCCACATGTATGTTAACTTGCCCAGCCCAGCTGTCCGCGACACACCCTCCACCCACCAGGGCTGGGCAGCCTGCTCACCTGCTTTGGCTACTTGGTCCACAGGCACACCCAGCTCCTGAGACATGTAGCCCAGCACGGAGAAGATGGCAAAGCCAGCCAGGATGCTGGTGATGGCGTTGCCCAGGGTGACGATGAAGGTGTCTCTGCCGGGAGAAGTCCAGGCACAGGCCAGGGTGAGCGGGCCACGCCTTCACCCACGAGGCCCTCCCCAGCCAGCCACTCTCCTCCCCACTCCAGCCCCTGGGATCTGGGAGGCAGCCCTGACCTATAGATGTTCTGGTGAAACGTGTTGTAGGATGCAAAGGTGAGGAGCCCCCCGAAGCCCACACCCAGGGAGTAGAAGATCTGAAGAGCAGCTTCGATCCACACCTGTGGCAGGAAAGGATGCAGATGGAGGGCAGAGAGAAGGGGCTGGCACACCATGGTGTCCAGAGGAGGAAGGAGGCGGGGCAAGAGCCAGCCGACAGGTCCAGGGATGCTGTGGTGAAGAGCCTGGCTCACAAGTGACACCGGCAGGAAGTAAGCCCTGCTCCAACACTTACACTGCAGGACCTGGGCAAATCCCTTCCCCTCTCTGGGCCTCAGTTTCCCCATCCAGGATCTAGGAGATACTCTCTAAGCTTGGTCCGGTTTTGAAGGAATTAGTGCCTCGTGTAAATTTTCAGTAGATGCCTACTGACAATAAGCCCCTGTAACCCCTTTACTTCCTCCCTAGAGTTGGAGGGACCTGAATTGGAATCCCAGCTCTACCATTTTTTATCTGTGTAACCTGGCCAGGCCACATCACCTCTCCAGGCCTCAGGACCCTCGTCTGTACTGAGGGGATAGGAACAGTACCTCCCTCAGGGTGGTGGTAAGGATTCTGTAACTACATACATGCAAAGTGCTAGAGCAGGGCCAGGCACAGTCATCCACCAACACATAAGAAACGTTAGGTGTCAGGACCATCGCTGTTTCTATTATTATTACAATGCCCTCCTTGGGGTTTGGAGTCAGACAGATCAGGGTGGAAATCCCAGCTCTGCCACCCCCTAGTCGTGTGACCTTAAGCGTATCACCAACACTTTTGCGCCTCAGCTTCTTCATCTGTAAAATGAGAGAATAATGCCTACTGCATAGGATTGTGAATAATAATCAAGGAAAGTGCCAAGCACAGCGCCTGGTACACGGGGCTCCCCATGTGGAAGATTCTTCCCCCCACCCCCTCTTTTCCCAGGGACCCCTCTTTCCTCTCCCCAGCCTGACTCTTCCCTCTGCACGCAGGCTTTGAGGGCCTCACCTTGGAAGACAACAGGTGGTGGAACTGAGGGGTGAGATAGAACTGGATGCCCTTCCAGGCCCCTGGGAGGGTGACTCCACGGACCAGCAGCATGAGCAGGATGAGGTAGGGGAACGTGGCCGTGAAATACACCACCTGAGAGACAGTAAGGGGGTTGACCTTCTCTCTTCTTTGCTCCTCTCAGAAATCCCCACCTGGGCTTCCCTGGTGGCGCAGTGGTTGAGAGTCCGCCTGCTGAGGCAGGGGACACGGGTTCGTGCCCCGGTCCGGGAGGATCCCACGTGCCGCGGAGCGGCTGGGCCCGTGAGCCATGGCCGCTGAGCCTGCGCGTCCGGAGCCTGTGCTCCGCAATGGGAGAGGCCACCGCAGTGAGAGGCCCGCGTACCGCAAAAAAAAAAAAAAAAAAAATCCCCACCTTACTAACTCACCTATGCAGCCTAAGCTGGGAGCAGTCCCTCACTCCCTCCACACATCACTGCTTTCCAAGGCTGTTCCCAACCGTCCACTCTCTCTAGCTCCACTGCACCCTGGTCCAGGCCCCCTGCAAACCAGCCTGCATGGTCATCAGACGCTGGACATGCCCAAACTCCCCTCTGCCCCGTCTGTGCCTGTTCCCAGACCTCCAGCCTTGCCCTCAGCAAACACCATCAAGTCTCAAGCCCCTCGCTGCCAGCCCCTTCTCTCTGCCCTCCATCTGCATCCTTTCCTGCCACGATGACCTCTCCTGGCTTTCTAATGGTCTCTACACTGTCTTTCTAATCTTTCTTTTAGTGGTTCTCTTCCTCGTGGACAACGTCTCCCAGCCCTTTGCAGAGGGACAAGTTCTAATTTATAAATGATTGATTAAACCACTCATGTTTCCAAGTCCTTCTGAAACAGCGTTATGGTCCTTCCTTCCCTTCATAACCTAAAACGGGCATCTGCAGCTTTGTCTTCCCAGCACCTAGCTGGCCTTCTTCAGATAACAGTCGCCTGACTTTCCCACCTGGCGCTGACTCCATTCCCAGCCCCAGCCAAGCTGAGCACTCCACCCTCCTGCCCACGGTGACTGGTTCAGGGATGGGTATCAGACCTATGTATCCAGTGAGACTCAGTTCTAGGATTTTTGAAACTTGGGACAAGGGAGAATACTAAGCAGGTAAGATGTAAGCCTAGAGCTGCTAGGGGCAACCTCATGAAAAACGTAGCCTGAGAAGGAAGCCAATCTGGAGGAAAGTACTGCTGAGACACCAAGAGAACGACATTCCTGATAACTCCAACTGAACCTCTAGATCCAGCCATGCCTGAAGCAGACCCTCTAGACTTTCCAATTGAGTGTGACAACTGGGTGTTCTAGTGCTTGCATTTCAAAGAGCCGTCACTCATACCCACCCTTCAAGCACTCAATGAACACTTGCTGAGGTTCTTCAAAGCGCCAAGCACTAGGTTAGGAAAGAAGCTTGAATAACAGATAGGTCCCGCTCTCGGCGTGTTTCTAGTCTAGCGAGCCAGCCTAGCCACCATCCAGGCTCACCCCCACATCTTCCTTCAGGCAGTGCCTCCCTCCCCCAGTCTCAATGCACTCTCCCTCCCCCTCTTCCCAGTTGAAGTCCATCCATCCTCTCAGGCTCAGTCCACACCCTGCCTCCTCAGGAAGACCTCACCCTTCCCAGCCTCTCAAGCCTCCGGGGCCTCCCAGCTTCACCTTGCCCGAGGACTTCACACCCTTGAGGATACAGAGGAACACGATGACCCAGGCAAGCAGCAGGCAAAGGCAGAGGTTCCAGCGGATCTGCCCAGGACTTCCGATGCCCCGGCTGCCTTGGATGTGGAGGACGTAGCGGCTGTGGGAGACAAGGTCTGAATGTCCTCTGGTGACCCTGCCACGTTCCACAGACATGGAGTAAAGCTGTGGCCAGCCTGCGAGACTATCCTGGCTTTTTTCTATTTGATTCCTCTCCATCCTTCTCTGACCAGCTCAGCAGCCACGAGGTGGGCCTCTACCGACCCCATCATGCAGGCTGCTTTCCTCTTCAATTTCCATCTGGGTCTGGCTAATGGGAGGCAAGAGCAGGAGACTGGATGATGGGTTGGGGTATTTGCACACACATGTGTACACATGTACACGCATACATGCACGCACACCATCAGACGGTCTGGCTGTGACTGCCTTCTTCTATAGCACAGCTTTTGTTGGGCAGCCCTTCCTCCAAGGCTTCAAATTTTCCCTGGTTCCGGTAACACTGCCTCCTTGCCTCAGGGGTGGTATGGCTGTCCCTCTTGCTGGTGCCTCACCTTTCCATGTGGATCCCCTCTGTAAAGTCCCTCCACTCACTCAGCTCCCTTCAGCCCTGTGAGAGTGCCAATCGGCTTCCTGCCTGCTCCCCCCAACTGATGCAGTGGGCCGTGGCGTTGCCATGGAGACCCCTGGCCGCTGCCAGTGACCATGTCATGTTCTTTGGCTTTTAGCTGCAGACCCAAGCCCTTCCCCACTGGTCAGACATACTCCTCAGCAGGTGCAGACACTTTGGATGGACTTTAAATGGATAAACGGATGGACCATGTAATATGTGTGGGTTGGAGATTAAAACATTTCAAGACATGAGGCTCATTTGGGGGAAGATTCCTAAGAGTAGCCTTTTGCTACTAGGTAAAGGGTTGGGGGTATCTGGTCTGTGTCCTCTGGTTAACCAATGGTCCCTACCTAGGAACAAGGCTACTCTGGAATGTTCCAGAACAAGATCAGGGATCAGGAGGCCTTGGTTCCAGTACTGCCTCTGCCAGTAGGTACTGAGCAAGCCTCTGGGCCTTGTTTTCTCAGCTATAAAGTGGGACTTTGGGACAGGCCAATGGGCAGCGATGCCCTTTTGATACCCACCATTCACAGGGGCTTGCAATGTGCCGGGCACTGTGTTAAGGGTTTTACCTGCATTACCTGCATAATTCGCATAGCAACCCCTTACTCTCTCCTACAGTCTTCTTTCTACTGTTAGACTAACCTGAGATGGTCCTGTAGGATCATGGCCTCTGCTAAGTGCCTTACCCACTAGGACAGTCGGTACTCAATAAATACAGACTGAAAGAACGAATGAGTGAGTGACTGACTGATACCATCCTATGAAGCAGGGACTCTTATTACCCCCTTGAGCAGAGGAGGAAACTGAGGCTGCAAAAGCTGACGAGTACTGTTACCGTCGGCATCATTGCCATCAGCTAGCTCTTACTGGGCACTCACAGTCCACCCGGCTGGGCAGCACAATTTATAAGCTTTCTTTCCTTGCAGCCTCACAGTAACCTTCCAATACTATTAGCACACCCACTTCCAAGATAAAGCAAAAGAAACTGTTCACGGTCACACAGCTGGCCAGGTGAAGAGCTGGGATTAGAACCCAGAGTCCACCTAACACGAGCACCTGAGCTTGGCCTTTGAGGTGCATATGCTGAGCCCCTTGGGGACACGGGCACACTGATGCCTTCTGTCCCTCCCTGACCGTTGCTGGGCCGGCGGGGACCTGACCTCCAGTACTCCTCGCTGGGGCTGACGGTGCTGGTGAGGTTGAGGGGCAGGGCCCCGTTGCCGTCCTTGGAGCCTCTATGCTCGAGGCAGAGGTCCGTGTTCCACCAGTTGCCACAGTGCTCCCAGGGCAGGTTGCTGGTGAGGGAGGCGAAGAGGTAGAAGAGGACGTAGGCGATGATCATGTTGTAGTAGATGGCCACCAGGCCCACGATGAGCAGCATGGCCGCGCCGGCACCTGGGCGGGGGAACGGGCGGCCTTCAGGCCAAGGAAGCCATCCCCTTTCTGGGTTTCACCTCCCTCTCTGCCTACAGGTTGTGGCGGGAACCTCCCCGCCTCCCTCAGGCTCAGAGCACCCCACTGAAGCCTCACCTTTGAAGAGGGGGCTGATTTTCCAGACAGCCAGGGGTCCCAGGCTGGAGAACTGGCCCAGAGAGAGCTCGAGGAAGAAGAGGGGGATGCCGCAGATGGCCAGCATGAGGAAGTAGGGCACAAGGAAGGCGCCTGCGAGGAGGAGAAGGGAGGGCGGGGAGGGTCTGGGGCTGGACCTCCCCTAAAGCCCAGCTCTAGCCCCGCCCCACCCCTCCCCTGACTGGCAGACACCACCACTTCTCACGTGGATTAGGGCTGGGCACTACAAGACTGTCTTCTCTTATGCTAGGAGATCACTGAGGGCCAAGGGGTCGGGGTGGGGGGGGGGGGGGGGGGGGCGGGATTTACTCACCTCTGTAGCCCCGGCGCCCAGGCCAGGACTGGGCTCAGAGCAGACATTGAGTGAATGAATGAACAAATGAGTGAATGAATAAGTGCATTCCCCGCCAGAGGAAGTACAAACCGTCAGTACAGAAATCGATGCCCTGCAGAACATGGCTCCAGTCTACTGCCTCTCCCCTCTCCCCAGCCCCACCTCAGAGGCTTGTGTCTGCCTCCTGTGGTCCCGTGTGCCCAGCATCCCTTCCCCTTTTCTTCTCATGTCAGCAGCCAGCTCCTTTACAGGACTGCCCACCACCATATGGCTCTGGAAGTGCTGCCAGTTACACCAGCCAACCCCTGCCCACCCCTTCCTGGGCACATATCCCAAGGCAGGCCAATTAGATACCTTCCCTGCAATTCTATATAGATTCATTCAGAGAGAGCAGTGCTGGGAAGGAAGTCATTCCAGAGCTGTCTGTGGCCACCCCCGACCCACCTGTAAGGAGGAAGCCTGGTCCAGGGAAAAAGGAGGTCAGCACACAGAGAGGGAAGAAGCATCAGAACCAGGGAGAGGGAGGACAGAGACAACTATGGACATCCCTGAGTTCCTGGAGCTTTGGAGGTCGGCACTCGTCCCACACTTCCCAGTCATCCCAATTCATCTCGTCCTTGCTTCATCTAGTTCTACTTGGATTTCTGTCGCTCTGCCAATATGCGCTTCTTTAAGGAGTTTGGTAGAGTTGGGAGGAGACACAGTGCTGGTGGGAGCACATTGGCTCTGGAGACGATAGCCCTGGGGTGGAATGGTGGATCCCCATCGTGTGACCTTGGGCAAGGAACTTGGCCTCTCCAAGCACTGCGGCCTCATCAAGATGGTGCCCACCCAGGTGGTTGTCATCAGGGTTAAATGAGACAGGCCTGGAGAGCACTGAGCCTGGGGCCTGGCCGATGGTGAGTGCTAACCCCAGCTATTGTTAATGAGACTTAGAACAGCCACTTGATGGAGAGGCAGGGACAGAGAATTTGTTTAAGATGAAAGAGATGCTGGGCTTGCAGCGTGAATGGAAGGAACAAGAGAGGAGGCTAGATTGAAGATTCAAGAGCAGGAATGACTGATTGAAGGAGCGAGGTTCCGGAGGAGGTGAGGTGGGAGAGGAGGGTCGGGGAGAAGACTGAGAGCACAGCGATCACTGACAGGCACACACAGCCCTTCATCACCAAGCAGAGGCAGCCCCCTCTGCCCATCACTCACGGCCCAGGAAGCGCCAGGGCTTGTCAAGAGAACCGAGTGTGTATCCATGCTGGGGATGAGACAGGAAGGAGGGGACTGGGAGAGGAAAGGGACACGGCAGGGTGAGCTCCCCCTTCCAGCCCCAGGTCACCGCTTTCAACTAATTCAGCCCAAGGTCACATAGGAGACAGTGGCCAAGGCCACTTAATACCTCACTCCACCCTGAGCCTTGGCCCATTGGACTAGATGCCCCTCATGCAGGCATCAGGCCCATACCTCCTCCGTTGGTGTAGGCTCGATAGGGGAAACGCCAGACGTTCCCCAGGCCTACACAGTAGCCGATGCAGGACAGCAGGAAGTCCAGCTTGCCTGTCCAGTTCCCCCGGTCTGCAGCAAAGTCCACGTCCAGGTCTACATTGCCCTGGTCACTGGGGGTCATCAGCAGGTCTGGGGTGATGGGCTGCCAGTAAGAGAGACCAAAGGGGTGAGGGAGAAGGTGAGGCCAGGTTGAACTGGAACCCCCAAAATAAGAATATGGAATCAAACAGGACTAAGTGCCAAGAACTCTATTGGTTCAGATAATCAACGGGTCTCACCTGGGCTGACAGGTTAATAGGCAGGAGCTCCCTGGGGTTTCAGGGGACTACAAACTTTTGAGACTAGCAGGGTGGCTCAGGCACTAAGAAAGCCACCTTGACCTTAGTTTGCCTAACACAGGGGTCCAATGAAGGGATGGTCCTATTTTGATGACGACGACGATGACGATCTTAATAACAGTCACCATGTGCGAGCACTTACCACGCACTCGCTGCACTAAACATTTTACTCACATTACCTGATTTCATTCCCAGAACAACTCTATGAGCTAAGTACTCATCTGAGGGAAACTGAGGCTCAGAGAGGCATGATGACACACCCACAGTTTTCGCAAGGCTGGCTAGTGGGAGAACTAGGTTTCCGGCCCAGAGCTTCCTGATGCTGGAGCCCAGGTCTTCAACCACCCAGTGCTGGGGTTCTGCTACTCCATTCTGGGCACCATATTTTAAGAAAGACAGTGGCAGTTTGGAGCATGTGCAGCTGACTAGATTGGAGTGTATTCAGGAAAGGCAGTTACAGGAGGACAAGAGGAAGAATTGGGACCCTTAGCATAGAAAGGACGGGGCATGGAGAGAATGTGGGCTCCCCTGGGCTTAGATTTATGCTGTGTGGCTCAAGAAGGCCTACTGAGGACTGTGAATTTTAGCTCACAAGCAGGAAGAAGCTACTGAAGCCCCAGTCTGCCTCAGAAAGTTGTAATCTTCCTGTCTCTGGAGGAAAGATGCATGCACAGAGGGGAATGGCAACCAGCTGTCCCTAAAGTCCCCTCCTGTGATTTAAGGAGGGCAGGGAAGCCCACTGGGCATTCTCCCTTCAGGCTGGGGCTGGGCAATGGAGGCCTTCCTCCAGGTGCTTGGAACCCTGGCCCGAGAGATGAGTTAGTGTGTCCATGAGCTGTCCAGGCTTAGGGCCAGGAAGGAAGCCCAACGTTACCAGGATGACTATCTAAAATTCAGACAGCAGTTCCCAGAAGTGACTCCAGGAATGGGGCAGGAGAAAGGGGCAGCTACACCTTTTCTGCTTGCCTCTGAAAGCCATGCCCCATGGCAAAGGAGGACGGAGCTGCAAAGAAGGCCCATTATCAAATAATGTTCATGGTTTTCAGAGAGGAGAAAGGACCCTCCTGCTTCCTGCTGAGGAACAACCGTGGGGAAACAGTGATTCCACTGGACTGGGCGTCAGGAGACCACGATTCTCATCCCAGGTCTGTGCCAATTCACTGTGCAACTTTAGGAAAGACACTTTTGAGCCTTGGTTTCCCCATATGGACACTGAGGGGATTGGATAGATCACTAATTCCAAAAACACATCACTTGAAATGTTTGTAGATGTTGGGTGGAACAAAGGATTCTTGAATTTAAAAGTTTGGGGAAAGCTGGGTTATCACAAGGTAAAACAGGTTGCTTTGCTGCAGGACTTGTCAGATCCTTTAATGGACCAATATGCACTGTGACTCTCCAAGTAGAGACTAGAACAGACAGTATTCTCCAATTCTACTTAAGAAAAGGGTCTCAAGGAGCTAGCATGTCAGGATATACTTGGCAGAAATGCAAGTCTAGATAATCTTTAGCTAATAGTCTTCTGGCTCTGATGATCTGTGAGGCAAGATTCATCAAGGAGACTTCACCACAGTGGTCGAGGACCAGATCAGATCCCAGCACAGGGACTCAGCAAATAGCTACTACCCAATTTGCTTTATCCCCTAAAATTGCCCTTCCTGGCACCAGCTCAAGTAGGTGTCTACACACAAATCAGGTGACAGAGGAAACCTTGCTGGGATGAGGATGGTGAAAGGAGAGTCCGAGTGTCACGGGACTGGAGGTGCCTGGCTGCAATGACACGGTTAGGGCAACGGGCTCAGGTGGCAGAAATGTGGTAACAGCATTGGGCTCTCAGTGATAGTGACAACCATGGTGGTGATCCCGCCTGAGGCTGGCTATTGGCCAGAGGGGCAGTGGTGATGGAGGCAGCCTGGCATGATTATGGGTGATGCTGACAATGATGAAAAGCATGAAAAAGCTGCTTTTCAAGTAACTGGGCTCCAGGGGTTGAAACAAATATGTTGCTGGTGGTTCTTTAGCTGTGATCTCAGACATGCTGGGGTGAGGATAGCAGCAGCTCCTAGATCTGTATGAAACCCACCCCTTCCCTCGGGTGCCCCTTTCCCCAAGTCTTCCTCTCCAGCTGCGTGAGCATCAGCCCTCTGGAACCACTCCCTCCCAGGTGAACTCCAAGAGGGATGGGGTAGCAGCCAGTTGACACTGGCCCCTAGTATTGGGTGAGGAGGCAGACCTGTCACCCTGTGACCCCCCCACCTCAGGCCAGCTGGCAGGAGGCCCTGATAATGAGGCTCCTCTGATCCCTCCTGAGAAGTTGCTGCCCTTTCTACGTTCACAGAGCAGTCCAGGCTCTCTGTTTCCATGGTGACAAGAGTTCCAAGAGCAGGATGCTGCCAGCTCTTCCGTCCCCTCCTCCCCCAATCAGAGAGAAGCCTGCTCCTGCTCCAGGAACAGGGGATGGGGTCCTCCAAACCTGAGCCAGTCCAAAGCCCACGTGGAGCCTCCAACCCCACCACGTGGTAAATCCCAGGAGGCTGGCACAGAGAGGACAGAACTGAGAGGCCGAGAAAAGCAACAAGATCAGCGGGGTAGGGCTGGGAGCTGGATGAGTTGCTTCACACTTCTGCCTGGGTGTGAGGCTCCCACTCCTGATCCCCCCACTCTCCACCCAGAGTCACACAGGCACACACATCTGAGTTTGCCAGACCACACCCCCTCTTTTAGGGGCCAACAGAGGTAGGTCACCAGCAGTGTCGGGGCTGAGAGAGGTACGACTTCCCAAGCCAAGGCTTTCATACCTCCTTCAGGATGAGAGAGACAGTAGGAATCTGGAGTCTGACTTCATTATTGTGCAGATCAGGAAAGTGAGTTTCAGAGGAGAAGGGGCGAGCCCAAGGTCAAACAGCAAGTTAAGGGCAGAGCAAAGCCAGGACTCAGACCCCTGACCCTCAGTCCCGTGCTCATCTCTGAATAACGCTGCCATAGCTGGCACTCCCTCACTCCCCGACCCCCTTCTCCTGGAGACCAAGGGAGGGGACACTGAGGCCAGGGGTCCCACCCCTACCCTGCTGGCCCTAGGTGGCTCAGCCCACCTTCAGGAAAGCAGTAACCTGCACCCCTCAGTTTCCTTGTCTATAAATTGGGGATAATAAGACTTAGGGCCAGGATTGTTGGAGGATTACTTGAGATCAGGCTTCATACAACATGGCTATTTACATAATGAGTAGCCCTGTGCCAGTGAGGGGCGGGGGCTCTTGTGAGAAGAGAGAGGAAGGAGGAGAGAGTAGGATGGAAAAGAACAGGGGCTGGACTCAAGAAGACCCAAAAGACCCACAAATGACCCCAGCAAGTCACTTATGTCAGGAAACAAAAAGGACCCACTTAGCACAGTGGTTCCACACTCAGCTGCCCAAGGGCAGAGAGCTTGAACGAGTGTATGGTGGCGGTGGGTCTTGCGGGAGAGGGGACCGTCCACCACACCAGCAGCTGGGAGTTCACAGTATCCACCCCCCTGGACTGTGGGGCCTGCTTTGGTGCCGCACGCTGGGGATGGACCAGTGATGGTCCAGGCTAGAAAACAGACTTGCCCCAAGTCACAGGGTAAGCGGCATCCGTAGAAACAGTACCCAGGCGTTCTGACTCCTTGGCTAAGACTGGTACTCTTAAGCCAAAAGCTAGAAAACTTCCCCTGAGACTCTCCCTCCCCACATACATGTGACTTGGCTGGCAGGTCCAATCCCACAGGACAAGGTGGGGCGGGGCTGAGGTCTGGGCCCAGGGCTCCAGGAACATGTAGACTTGGCTTTCTCTCTCATGCCAGCTTCCACCTCACCTCCACAGCCCTTGGGTCTCCCATTTCCTCCCTGCTTGTCTTTGCCTCCCTCTTGCCCTGCTGAGGGGCAGCCTGGGGTCTTATCAGGGAAGCCAAAGCTGCCAGGAGAATGAAGGGGGTGGGGAGGAAGCAGGAGGTGGGCACTGCAGGGCAGGAGCACTGGTAGGAAACCAGGGCGCAGCTGCTGGCTCACGGAGGCTGCTTCAGCGCAGAGTGCACAGGTGAGGACCTGCTCCAAGCCCCCACCCCCGACCAGTCCTGCTCAAGGCTGTCTTAGCTATTCTAACATCTCCCACCCCCACAAATCAGCCCCTGGGGGAAATGGACCCAGGTACTGGGGAGGGGCGGGTGCCTGGCCCCAGCACCCCTACCTCGTGCCTCCTGTGGCTTGAGACACCTGTTCGCAGGACCTGGCCCAGTGAACCCCAGGCCCCATCACACTGCATCCGGATCCCCAGAAGGGGAAGGCCACTCTCCACCCCGTGCAGGCTGTGACCCCTCCCCTCCCTGCAATCCAGCTCTGCCGGCCTCCTCCGGAGCCCTGAGCCGGTTGCAGGTGCCCTCTCCCACCCTCCCAGGGGGCTCGAGAGGGGGCGGGCCTCTGCACCCCTCCCTCAGGAGCGCCCCTGCCCTCGTGCCCTACCTTGCTGAGGTGAGCTCCCTGGAGCTTCTTCATCTTGGAGGGCGGGTCTCTGGGGCTTCCCGGCTGGGCTTTTCCTGAGCGCAGAGAGCGAGCGAGGGAGCAAGAGATCTCGCCGCCGGCTGGCTGCCGCGCCCTGGCCTCCGCGACTCCCGCGCACCGGCTGGGGAGCCGCGGGCGCAGGCGCTGCCGTCCGTGGGCTGCCGGGCGCTGCCTCTCCCTGCGCAGCGCCCTAGGCTGGGGAGGGGTGCACCGCTGC